TGCATAGATTTCTGTGAACAGGACTAAGACTATGGCAACATATCTGAGTGCCGATCTTCCACTTACTGTATCTAATGTCACAAACTTGGCTTCCTTTAAGTTCTTTGGCCAATTATGAATGTTCTTTCAGCCTGTTTGGATATCAGTCTACTGCTATGTTTTTAATAATAAAGCTATAAATCAACCATCCCAAATTAGTTGGTCAAATGGAGGGCCCCCCATTTTAAATTTAAGGATAATGACAAATGATTTCATTAATATTAAAAATATGGATAATTATTTTTTAAAGAGTTAAATAAGAATTGTGAATGTATTTCATTTGCTTAAGTGTTTGCTGCCTTTAGACCCTTGCTAAGGTTCCACAGGCCAAAGCCTTATCAGTTAAGTACGTGTCGGCACTTTCTCCTATTTAGTATTAAGGAATGGAATCTTAAGTATGAAAGATGTCTTGTGTAGTATGTCAAAATGTTGAGCAATATAATTTCAGTCTAAATACAGAGATGAAAGAAGAGCAGATGATTTCCCTTTTGCTGTAATTCACTTTGGGATGCATGTCATGAAGAGCACTATACAAAAGCAATTTTCATTGATTGACTGACTGATTGAGGAAAAGGGTGAATGTTCTTTTAGCTTATGTTCCTACTGAAGTATGATTCTTATAGCTCCTGACAGCTCTTTACAATTTCTAGTTAAATGGTATGTTATAAAGCAAGCAAACAAACAAATAAATGAAATAAAAAAGAAGAGGGGACAAGGAAGAAAGTTTTAATTTGAATTTCTCTGCATTTCTGACTTGAGTCAAATAGCTAGCTAGACTAGGTCTGGTAAGAGTCACTCCAACTCTCCTATGCATTGTATTTGGACATGATTATGATTGCAATTATCTCATCAAGACGATAACTGCCCAACCCATTCAGTGACAGAGGCAGTCCACAGGTACTTCTCTTCTTTGGCACAAGGTGCTCTTTCTAGAACATCCAAGGAGGTTTTGATGCACAGAAGATTCCACATCAGTGCCCTTATCATTACAAAAAGAATTTGTCATGTCTCTAAAATGGCCTCTCAATTCTGTTAACACTCACCTAATTTGGGCATAGTTTTTGTCTTTTTCATATATCTGAATGGATGCTGATCTCCTGGTTATGAATGCAAATATTAAACATGTCTAGTAATGAAACAAAAAATAATATATAAACGTTATCTCCAAATTCCTCCAGCACATCACTCTTACCCACCACTAATCAGTGGTGATTAGCAATCCAACCACTGCTACAGCTGATCATCTCCTTTTAAGTTTCTAGTTCATTCTCCTAGTGACATAAAAATACTGGGGAAAATCTTCTTCCCTAATTTATGCAAACTGTGTTTTTCCTCAGATGTTAAGTTGAAAGAATATTAGTGAGCTCTTCACATGGAATAAATTTAAATCCCTGCAAAGTTACATCTGTTCACAAACTGTGGAAGATCTATAGTCCCATGACAGGCCATAATAAATGCACTTTCAGGTGAGAGGCACTTAAAATGTCTTTCTCAGGTTGTAGCACACAGGCAAGGTCTGTGAAGGTGTGGGGAAACCCTTCACTCTAAGGTTAGCTTTTCTGCAGAAGCTTGAGATCACATTTGCTGTTTGGAATTGGCACTCTCCACACAATTATGCTTCTAGCCAAATATGTTCAGGGTGGGAGGAAGACAGTTCAAACCAGTAAATAATTGCAGTATCATTGCATCAGTTTAGTTTAAAGAGCTGACAAGCCTTCTCTAAACTCCATGCACAATTAGTCATTAGGGTCTAGTTTTTCAGCACTGTTAAGCAATTTGTAACCCATTCCTCTTAATAGGGTTAGACATTACTTAACGACACAGATGCCTTGAAAACTGAAACCTCAAGTTATGAAGCAGCAACCTTGTTCATTACCTTCTGTGATAGGCAAATCATCTATAAAAACAGCATTTAATGGGCAACCAATGAGTAATCAATGGCTCACTTTTCATCTGAGTGTGAAAATGAGAATAATCTAATACAAGTCCCTCTGGTAAGAGTCTGAATCTTCTTTCTGCCACTCTTCAGGGCTGATTTATAAGGTCTTGGAAAGCTGATGTAAACAGATGATCAATGGGCCCATCCCTGCTCATAATAACCCCCAACTGGCCCACTCCCTCTTTTCCAGGTCCATCCCTTCAGGCTATTAGCTCTGTCCAGCTAATTCTTCCCACTACTCTTGCCTGCTGCTTTTACTCTGGCCATCCGTTCAGTCCAGCAGACTCAGAAGTAATTTTATACGCAGCAGAGAGCGGGTGGAATTGATTTTTCACTCAGTGCTCAGTTCCCATCTGAATAATTATCAATTTTACTGCCTCATAAAGGGAAGAGTCAAAATTTCAAATCAATTCAAAAGAGCTTTTGAGACGACAGAAACTGTGCATAAGAATAGAGGTCAAAGTTGTCAGTGACCTAAGGAGATGATGTCAGATATTACTATACCCAATAGTTGACATCAGAGGCACTCAAGATGATATAACCTAGTGCTAATGCAAATCATATTTATGCTGACTACCAGAGACCAGTCATTAATATTTAAAATGTTATCTGAAAGCTTACATCCCAAATAAATAGAATGTATTCCACTGCTTAATAAAGATATATCACTACTTAGTCATATGCTATAAAGTAAAGGATTACCAAGTGTTATTAACACACAGAAATGATTTAAAACAACAAATGCATGGTGTTTCTGAGTAAAGATACACTGGCTGATCTCCTGCTGTCTTATTACTAGCCTGTACACTATTGATTTTTACTAAAATTTTCGACCAACTTAGAAATGACTGCACAAAGCTGATGGGACAAACTGTGATGACAACTGACTGCTAATAGGAACGACTTGGCGGTAGGTAGCCTTGTCCTTTGTCATGGTAGGCAGCGCCGGATTTCTACTGTATCCATGGATATTTGTTATCTTAAATGATAACATGCTGTAAGTCAATGGTCCTCAGCCTTCTCCATGCAAAGCACACAGGGCTGCAGTGTACTCCCTCTGTACCAGCAGTGACTTGAAGGGGAAGTGGCTGAGAAGTGCATCCTAATCATAACAGAATGTGTACTTTGAAATACCTTGAGAAGCAGTGGCATGTGTTTTAATGATATGGGGCTTTGGTGTTAAACAAACTTTGGTTCAAAATCCAATTCTATTACTTTCTAGACAATCTTAAGACACCCAGAATATTGATCTGTAAACTGGGGATGATGACAGCCACATGTCTAGGCTGTTGTGTAATCTAAATAAGACTTTTTAATAGTTCCTTCTGTGTCAGTCCCTATGACTACTATGTTAACAGAGTTGTCATGTAACCGTAATTGTATTTTTTACAAATTTTACTTATTCTTGCATTTTTCACACAATAAATGAAACAGACCATTCAGATCCTTAAACACTCCACATCTCTAGCCTCACCCACTATTGGTACAGGTTGGAGTATGCTACAGCCTTCGTGTTATCTGCAAGGAGAAGGCTGAGACTCACTGGCTTAGAGCATGCCATAACTGAAGATAACAGATACTCATGGGTGAGCTAGAAATCACACTGACCAGATCCTCAATGAATTCTCTTCATTCTTTTACATTATCAACTAGTTGAATAGTTTCAGGATCACAGCAAATAGTTATAGGTCGGCCTGTAGTAATTAGCCCTTTGCTACTTAAAATATGAATGAATTACATTTAGGTTATCCATTCCTGGAATGCAACTAGTTAACTGAAATGTCACCACCACAAATAAGACTTTCATAATTTCATTCTGATCCTAGTAAAGCCATTACAGTCAGGAAGAAAACTTCTTCCATGGGCTTCCCATTCTATTTTCACCATGTTCATGTGCAGGGAGGGATACAGTCTACTGACTCAGATGACATTGTTCATTAATGACAATACACTCAGTTGAGGTATTTACTTTTTAAAAAATCAGACTATTATGGACATAACCTGAGCAAAATAAAATTGAAAACAGCATACATATTTCCTAAATTTTGTGGAAGTACAAGCATCAATCATAGTGATAGTATATCTGTAAAATGGCTTTATTTTCTTTGGAATAAATCTGGCATGTATCTTCATTTCTTATGCATGTCGTATCTCAGATTGGACTTAGCTTGTGTTAGACAGTTACAAAACACAACTGGGTGCTGGAGGAATGGCTCAGCTGTTATGAGCACTGGCTATTCTTCCACAGGTTCTGAGTTCAATTCCCAGCACCCACATAGTAGCTCAAAACCATTTACAATGGGATCTAATTCCCTCTTCTGGCATGCAGGTGTACACGCAGAAAGGATACTCATATACATAAAAGACATGAATAAATAAATCTTAAAAAACAAAAACCTGAAAACAAACTGCTGCCAGGTGGTGATAACTTACACCTTTAATCCCAGCAATTGGGAGCCAGAAACAGGTGGATATCTGTGAGTTCAAGCCAGCCTGGTCTACAGAGCAATCAGGATAGGCTCCAAAACTACAAAGAAACCCTGTGTTGAAAACAAAATAAACCCCAAACAAACAAACAAAACTGAAAACACAGAATTATCACATATTAACCGAATGTTTGGGAACACTGCCTAATGTCTGAACTGTGTGACTCCTAATCTTACACAAGAACAACTAATTACACTTTCATGAATGGATAGCTCTTGGCAAGTTGTCTGCAAGGCACAGGAGCTAGCACATACGTGCTCTAGCAGCCATGTCCTCATGCATAGTTCAGCAGTGCTGGCCAAGGGTCCACGGAGGAGTTCTGCTCCACTGTTCTTAGGTCTCAGAACTATCGCTTCTGAATTCTGCAGTGAACTGAACAGCACTGGGATTTTTATGGGTGGGTAACCCTAAAGCCAGTGTACTCTCTATTGTCAGAGAAAAGTATCAAGGAGAATCATTGCTAAACATCTTGACAAGCATTTATGTAAGTACAGGGGCCAGAATGGCTTCTGGGAAACATGTTTAGCCAAGTTACCTGCTGCAGCACATCTGGGTTTTGTTGCATAAAGTGTAATAGCCTCTGGCCAGCCTGCATAGACTCTCTGCATCGAAGCGGCTTCTTGCCCTCCTTTGCTATGTGCTTGAAGAGGTAGGTAACCATGTAGTCTAAACTGGTACAGCAGCTGGAGGAGACGACTGTATCTGTACAAACAATAAGTAATAATTCATTCCCATTACTCAACTGTTTGTCCATTTAATTATTGTCTCCATTAAAAAGTTAGGACTTCAAGGCACTTCAGTGAAACTCTAAATCCTTGAGAGAAGGGGTTTGGCTTCTTTCTCTCTTTAAGTCCTATATCTATTATAGGCATAGAGAAACACTAGCAAGAAAATGATTCCTGGTCTGAACTGGACAGAATTTCCCATTTGGGATTTGAACAACCTCTGTTCAATTTGGTTATTAAGCCATCTACTTAGTGAAAAGTACTTCAGGGGAAATGGCTCCAAAGAGGAAATAGGTGCAAACCCTGCTCTGTTGTCAAAGAGTTCATGGCTTTCCACAGAGATCACTGAAGTATAAAACGATACATGAAAGAGTCACACTGTCACATACTGCTGCTGATTTGTGTGTGTGTGTGTGCGTGCGCGCGTGTGTGCATGCACGCACAAGTACAGAGGCCAGAGGTTGATATCCAATGTCTTACTCAATTACATGCTAACTCATTTTTGGGGGCAACAACTTCTTACTGAACCCGAAACTTACTGTTTTGGTTAGCAAATGCCAGGGATCTTCCATATCCACCTTCCCAAAGCTGGGATTACAGAAATGTATACCATGTTTGTTTTCTTAAAGGGTGCTGGGAGCCGCACTCAGCAAGTTCTTCACCAACTGAGCTATTCCCCCCAGCCCTAACTGCTGCATCTTAAGTGAAAGATTGAAAGATTTTAGTTTGCAGAGCAAGGATGTAGGAAAGGGGCAGAAGAATAATTCTTGTAAGTGGAATATAGAAAATCATAAAGAATGGACATTGACATGGGAGGAAAAGACAGACATTTATGAGAATAAGAAAGGTTACTGTGGTGATGGGGCTAGTGGTTATATGCTAGACTGATCTTGTTAAATAGGGCTAGTTACTGAATCATCAAACCTTTGTGGAATAACTGAAGGCTCTAAATGTACAGCCAAGAGAAAGCCAGAGTATGAAAAAAGTTTCTCACAGGTCTTGGCCCACAACAAGGAAATAGGCCCCCAATCCTGGAACAAATGATTCCAGATGAACAGCCCTGTTTGGGTCACTCCTGGCCAATGGACAGTATGGGGACTTTCCAAGTCATTCTATGGTTTATCCTTTGAATAAGAACAGGTCATACCTGGGTGATCTCTCAAACATGAGCTCATACTTTATAATCAATCATCTTGTGCCCATGCATGTATGCTGGGCACAAAGAGCCTAAGCCCTTTGAGGGGTGTGCAGCTTTCCCCGAGATTGCTGTCACCCCAGTGCACTCATTCAATAAACACCTCTTGCTTATTGCATCTCCTGTTTTGGTGTTTGTCTCAAAGGGCTCTCCCATCGGCCCATCAGGACCCTGGAATTAGGGTCTAACAAGATCATGTTTTAATGATGACCAAAGTAAGGTAGATGAAGGGCATGTCTTGAGATAACGTGGAAGGGTTGTTTCTGTGAGATGCAAGGAGGAAGTTTTTTGGCAGAAAACAGGAGTTAACATGGAGGGAGCCCTGGATTGTGGAGCTGTATGGTTTCTAATCCCACCTTTTCCTGTTATGCCAAATTCATGAGACCCCAAAAAGACCACCAAGGAGCAGACTCACCGATGCAAACACATAAGGTTTATTGCTCTACCCAACCATGGCAGGTTCCTCGTCTAGTTAGGTGACACAGCAGCCACCAGAGGAAGTGCCCCCACCCCCCCCCCCGCCACTGTTGGGGTATTTGAAGGCAAAAACTATAGGGTTACATCATCAGGTGGGGAGAGGTATGGGTCAGTTCTTGATTGGCTGACATTTGAGAACAATTAGGGGAATACATTTTCCAGAGTCATATTTTGGCATGGCAACTGGTCTGTCAACACTTTTGATTGGCTGGCTACAGATGGGAACATTGTGTGGTTTCTGTGGTTTTGTCCATCTCTTTGCAGGTGGTCTTTTATTCATAGATGCCAATAGTTCTCAGGAACTAAGTATCTTGGAGGCTTAAGAGGAGGATTTGGTCTCTCCTGGAGTTTCTTTGTGGCCACGCATAGTTTCCAGGAGCTAAGCCTCCTGGAGACTAAGGGGAGGGTTGGGTCTGTCCTGGAGTTCTTTTGTGACATGATGGGAGATGTCATTCTGTATATGTTTCTTATACTCGTTAATGAATAAAGCACTGTTGGCCAATAGGAAAGGAAGATAGGAGGGACTAGGAGACAAGGAGGAAAGAGGAAGAGTAAGGGGGAGTCAAGATGGAGAATCTGGAGAGACTAGAAACGCCAGCCGCCTCTTGCTGGTAAGACCACGTGGAAATACATAGAAATGGGTTAATAATTAACACAGAGCTAGCCGATAAGAAACAAGTAACCGGGCCAACAGCATAATATCAAATACAGAGTCTCTGTGTATTATTTGGGGCTGGCGCGGCGGCGGGACAAGAGTGGCGGTGGGAGGAAAAAACCTTACTCGGTACAGTGACATGTGCTGAGTCAGAGGCCTACATGTCTTTTCTGCAGCCTGTTATGGCTGCTAAAGCTGGGGGCTGGGTGAGGGTCTAGTCCCTTCATTCCCATTGTACTGTTACCTTGGAAGCGCTATTTTACTCCCCTCATCATCTGTAAAATACTCTGTACAGTTGAATGAGCAAAAGGACTTCACCAGTAAATAGCTGACATGTACAGAAGGCTTACTACATGTTAATGACAGTGTTAAATGTTTTATATCGATTATTGCTTTTAATCTTTATCAGCCTTGTAATAATTATTCTCATTTTATAGGTGAGGCTTAGAATTTAAGTGACTTGTCCAAGGGCACTGTAAGATCAGGGTGGACAGTAAATTAGGAGTTGGACCATGAATGTGTACTGCCAATAACTATATTAAAACCAAGTACTAAGCAAATATATACACAGGCAGCAAATGTTTTAAAAAAAAAATGGGGGTGGTGCTGACTTTGTGGCACAGTACTTCTATAGTACATGAGGCCCTGGAGTTTGATCCTTGGCACCCACAAAACAAAACAAAACAAACCAACAACCCCATGATTGAAACTCAAACTGCAGTTACTACTGGGCTGCCACTCACAGTAAACTGGAGGATGCATTTTGGAGGATAAGATTGCATGCAAGAATGTATGGGGAATCATGAAAGAAAGTTAACAAAGTAAGTTGAGTTCCTACATGACAGCATCCCAAAATGGGTGGAGATATTCATATTTAATTTGAAAGTCAACAGAGATGTCCCCCCCCCATCCCTCCCCAAAGTTTCTCTGTGTAGCTTTGAATCAGGCTGGCCTTTAACTCACAGAGATCCACCTGCTTCTGCCTCCCAAGTGCTGGGATTAAAGGTGTGCCACCACTGTCTGGCTGAAAGTAATTGTTATACAACCATTTATGCAACTGCTTACAATTTCCTTTGTACACTACAATTATCAACTCTGTAGGTTCTTATTTTTTTTCTTTTCTTTTGAGACAGTGTCTTACATGTCCCAGGCTATCTTCTGACTTGCTAGGTAGCCAAGAATGATCTTGAACTTCTGTTGCTCCTGAATGTACCTTCTTAGTTCGGGTGCTGCGATTGATAGACCTAAGCCATCATGCATCCCAGGTAAGAACTCTTACAGAATCCTCATCTAACTTCTAACAAATACTGAGCATATCAGGTATTGTTTGCATTTTTAAAACGAGAAAAGGCTGTGGGTGCCACTCTGTGGAACAGTACGTGTCTAGCATGCTTAAGGCCCTGGAGTGAGGGGAAGCAGAAAGGGAGCAAGGAGGGGGCTAAAATCTAGAAATTCCCTAGTTTATCACATTTCAGTGATTTAGAATCATAATAAGGTTAGTATGATACTACCCATATTTTTTGGTTAATGATGTCACGTTGACACAACAATCCCTGGCTATTTTTGACTAAGAGAAACAAAAATTGCAAATAAGGTAGCCTCAGAAAATAAACAGATGGCGAGGCCAGGTAGCACATGCCTGTAATTCCTGTTCTTGGGAGGTGGAGGCAAGAGTATCAGCAGTTTGAGTGACTGAGGCTATAAGAAATCTTGTTTCAAAAAAAAAAAAAAAAAGACAAGCAGGGGTGGGGTTGGGGGTTGAGAAGCTGAAAAACAGCTTCTTATTCATATTATGCTTGAGGCATGATTGTCTGGAAGATCAGAGGTGAAATAGTGACTTTAAGAATGGGGAGCTAAGTTAACCTGAGAAGTTATTCAAGAGAAGGTATGGCCCATGCTTAGTAATACTTAGCATTGAAGTAACGCCCCAGCTTGAAAACATCCTGGAAATAGAAAGGAGGAAGTCTGTGGGCTTCTGACACATGGACAGGATGATAGAAGCCCATGCAGGATCCGGCGGAATGAGAGGTTGAAAGAAGGTCTAAAGACAGGTATGGACAGTTGTAAAACACTGGGGTAAGATTTGTTTTTGTTTTTCAAGACCGGGTTTCTCTGTGGAGACTCAGCTGTGCTGGAACTCACTCTGTAGATCAGGCTGGCCAGTGCACTACCAACACTGGCAAGAAATATTCTAAGAAAGGAACATTCCCTGGCATCTCAAAACTATGGGATTTATGTACTAGCTAACTTACTCTTTATCATCCCCACACCCAAGGGTGCTCTGTAGGAAGAAACCCTGTGCTCTGCTAACTTTGGGAGACAGCCCAGGAACAAACATTTACTTCTTGAGCTGTTTTTCTTGCCTTCATTTTTCTAAATTTGAAGCCTTGATCACAAAAGTAAACTGATTTAAGTAGAGAGCAATATGATATCAATCATGCACAAAATTTAAAGTTGTCAAGTAATTTGGTGACCATACTGCCATGCAAGTTGCATTAAAAGAGTCTAATCCACTGAGTCAGCTGTAGAAAAGCCAGGTAAACACTTTAGACTCAAAGGTTGGAGCACACAGCTTTGCAATAAAAGCGAGGGTTTCCATTATGGTTGATTTATGGTTGGGGCTTTGAAAAGGATAAATGTTATTTCCAGG